TATTTCTTTTTCATCCAATTAAATATCAATATTATAAGAACTTCTAAATTTAAATTATTTTATATCCATTTTATTTTTCAACCAAATAACCTCTAAATTAAAATCCTTGATTTTAATTTTTAATGATATTTTGTGATCATTAGATTGAAAATTCTATCACATCATATTAAAGTTTGCCAACTAGGGGTCAAGACAGGTTACTATAAAATGATCACGGATGCACGGGCAGCACGTCGCGTCCTCATAAGCCCTAGCAGCAGGGATCTCGGCGGCCGCAGTCTGCATACAGTCGAGGGCAATGGGTGAGCTTTGAATCTCAATACTATTTCATTCTGCGATATCGTTGATGTTGGTATTCAATTACGCTATTTACAAATTTTCTCTTTATGCCTGAGATTTGGGTTTTTTATTTTTCATGACTTGCAGGGAAGGTTCATGGATCCCTGGTGCGTGCAGGGAAGGTTAGAGGACAGATAGCGAAGGTGGCCAAGCAAGACAAAAAGAAGAAGCCGAGGAGAAGGGCTTATAAGAGGATGCAATACAACCGACAGTTCGTTACTGCAGTGGTTGGTTTCGGGAAGAAGAGAGGGCCCAACTCATCAGAGAAATAGAAGACTTAGTAATTCTTCTTGTTATCTTTTGTCTTCAAAATCTTTGCTTCTTTAGAGATGTTGCATATTATCATGCTTCATGAGTCAATGTTTTGCAGTATGGAGTGCATGCTCTACTAGATTATGAAATTTCTTGGTCGGTTGCAGAGCCTAGCTGAAAATTCTTTCTCTTTAATTGCTTTTATAGTCCTAAGATGTCTGTGTTCTAGAGTTTAATCTTATTGAGTTGTACGCTTCCTATGATTTTATGTCCAAACTGGGAATTTTTCTATATCGATTTCTTCTTTTTGACTAGATGTCTAGCATCAAACAAAGTGCCTAGGTGAGTACTGGATTCTATCCTAACTGTGTCAAACTATACTATTCTTGTTTATTTGGAAATTCACTATTTTATGTCACAGGAGTTTTAAGATGACATGGCTATTTCTTTAAAAGTGTCATAATGTAAAGTTTTAACTTGTGATATCCAACCATGATGAACTTACTTATTTACTGTTATATGGTTCATCTTGTTTCACCTTGCATTGAAATAATACCATTCTCTAAAATGCAGTAAATAAGTGAGAATTGAGTGTATATTTTACAAAAAAGAAGTTGTCAGCGAATTGATTGAATCTTTTTTACTATTTTTTTCTATTCCATGCATGTTTAATTTTTCTAACCATTATGATGTCTCATGCTTATATGCTATGAAACTTAACGCCAACAAACTACCCCTTAAATAAAGTATTAGTTGTATTCCTTCCTGGGTTGTTAAGGGTGATTGTATATGAAGCAGGGTGCATTTTTAGTAGGAATTTATGTGCATTGTATATTAGGAATGTTATCGGGCTTCGACACAATATTTATCTATTCCCCTTTAAAACTAGATCATAGGATCAAAATTGGAAATGCTCCCTCTATTATGCGAGAAACTTGATATACAGATTATCCTCTGAGGATGAAAAGATTGGATCATTGGATATTTACTATCTATTTTTCAAGAGGTATTTGATGAACAGCGTATTGAGAAGCAATGTCAAGGAAAATAAATAAGGCTTGTCACATTGAAAAGAATGGTGATATGATAATATAGGATGCTTTACGATTTATGCATTATTAATTTAAAGTTTAAGCTATTATTTGCAAATCTAACTTTCTGATTGATGTAAGAAATATGCTTTGGCAGCATGCTGATTCAAGATAGCCCCATAGCAAGTCAAAATTAATGAATTCATTATTGTCCAAGAAAATTAAACTTCCTTTTTCTTAGAAGCTAAGTTTTGAGAAGTCATGTTATATTGGGGCATGCCTTGAGATGTTTTGAGATAAAGCAAATCATTTAGGTTAGATGTTTTGGAAGAAATTGGAGATAGTTTGACCTTTGGCTTAGTAATCCGAAATCATAGGTTCTTTGTTATAGTCATCCTTATATCCTTTTGATGGCTAGTTGGGAGCTTTATTGACAGAGATTTTGTACCTTCTAGTTATTATGTTTGTTGTAGATTTCTTGGTGCAACACTGAAAGTTTTTGAATAGGTTGGTTCAATGGATGCCATCACAACTTCTAGGGAGTGTAAGCTTTTTAACCATCCAAGATAACAATGATGTTATTCTATTTTGTGAATTTAATCCATCCTGGGCTTTTAGATTTGAGGTCATTTTTGAATTTTGCATGTATTTGACAACATTTTTTTTGCTTAGATACAAACTTCATTAAAAGCTCAAGCATGGCCTTAGGGCATGCTAGGTAATTTTAGGATCTCATCGATCTTTGTTTGCATGATGACCTATTTTCCCATTCTTAGTAGGGTCTTCTTCTAAAACCTAGTAGTTTCTATAATGCTGAATGGGAATTTATCAATGATGATGAAGCCAAGAGGTTGAAAAAAAAAAAGTGAAGGTGCGATTCCGCTAATTGATACTTAGAGAATTGTATAAAATATTATGGATTTTGCTATTTACATGGGTCTCACCTGTTTTATTCAGATAGTCACCCTCTCAAATACAAGATTTTGATTTTTCCAGCCTTAAGGCATTGGCTAATTAAATGAAATAGTTTGTGGTGGTATAAATGAGATTATTGGAAAATACTATTAGCAACAAATGTCTCTTTTTATTGGAAATTCTTGAAAGTTTGGATTATGATTGCTAAACCACTTGAACTACAATGGCACACCAAGAGGAGTTGAATTGGTGTTTTAAAAATTCTTTTTAAAATTTCCCTTTTGAAAATTTAAATCAAATTCACCACTAAAAAATTTAAACGTAGATTTTTCAAAGTAGAAGCAAATAATAAAATAAACTTTTTTGTTTTTGATTTTAAAGAAAAACAAATATTTGTTCTTTTGTTTTTCAAATTTGTATTTTTTCTCTTTTTGAGCAAAAACTAAATTCAATGCACTCTCAATATTTTCGTGTCACAAAGATGTCAATTCTCAACTCAGATTTGCAAAAAAATAAACGTACGAGAAAAGAAAATGCAAAAAATAAAGTGCTGAAAGAAACAAGAATAAACACACTTGAAATTTATAGTGTTTTGTTCAACATTTATTTACATTCACTCCCCAGAGTCCTCTCAAGATATTGTAATAAAATTCTTTAATGTCTTTTCTTCAGCGCCCACAATAAGATAGAGAAACCCTTATAAGAATTACTTTCACCTTTCCCAGTGCAACGGAGTAGCCGAATCCTTTCACATTCCACAATGCGAATGAGTTGCCGGTGGCCCTTGACAAGAAGAGGTTCTTCCAAGAGTTTCCCTCAAGAAAAACTTTGACTCATGGAGGAAGAAGATGGATGTTAGCCTGAGCAACCATATGTAGATTCTCTCTCACACTCCCTTGATCCCACAAAGCTATTTTCCCTCTCACCACTTCACCTCTCTCTCCCCCTTTTGATCAAAGCCCACTCTTTAAACCCTTACTCATAGAAGACTTGCCTCTTGCCCTTCAAAGACTCTCTTACGAAATAAGAGATGATTAAATAGTAGGTGTAAGGATATCCTAATTTTTAATTTAGCCATCTGCGTTTGTATAATATGATATAAAGATCGTACAATATGATTAGTTCAGTTCTTCCTTTCAGCACTGTACGATTAATGTTGGCATGTATGTTCACTTCAAAAAATTTCACTGATCGTCTATTACAATCTTAGGGTTTTATAGTACGATTAATACAATCAAATTATAAGTCGTCTGGGACGAACTTCTAGACGACAAAGATTGTCTTTGTGGGTCGTACAGTACGATCATAATCATATTGTACAATCTTAACATTTAATTGCCTCATATTCCATTTCTTAATCACAGGGATTAAATTAGGAAATATTTTAATTAAATCATACAATATTATTATAATCGTATGGGACGATTAATCCAACAATTCAAATTTTAAAAAGCTGCCTAAAATTAAATGGGGGAACATATTTTTTTATTTTAATTGATTGTCTTGTACGATTTAAATCGTACAGTATGATTAGTTCTTTTTTATTTTTATTTTCATTTTTATAATTTAGATGTTTATATTAGTTTCTGATTGAACTGATTGCACAATACGATCTTGATTGTCCAGTACAATCATCAGAAAAATTAAAACTTTTTGTTTCACTCCCCTCATGCGTGTGTGCACGATTATTAAATTAACATATACCTATTTATATTTATTGACTCAAGAAAATAAAAAGAACATACTTTTTTATAAATCAAACATATGCTACTAGCCTTGAGTTCTGATTCTTTGACGGTGTTTGGTGTATGCTAAACATGAAATGTTAGTACACACAGAAAACATATGCAATAATAAAACATATGAGAGATAAGATACAATTCAATAATGTTTGATATCATCATGTGTGCTTGGGGAGAGGTTTTCAGAATGTTGATCATTATTTTTCCTGTTAATTTGAGCAAGCATACTAGTCACTCAATTCAATAATGTTTAATCATTTAGAATTATGTTGTACTTACTAGCTTGCTTATGATACACGCATTCACAATTTTTATTTTAGTTTACTTACATATATAATGCTTAAACTTATTTTCCTAATATACTAAGGAATATATATTTTGAATCTTTCTAATGATGTTCCTGTCTATTATATATCGACGGTGGTGGCTAGGATCGAGTGGTGGTGGTGACCGGCAACATGAGGGGGAGGTGGCGGCTAGCGTTGATTGTGGTGGCCAATGGTGCTCAAACGAGCTTATTTGTGGTATAAGTGATTTTTGCTCAAAATTAGATGAATTTAGCTTACATAAAAATGAACTAAAATGGACTATATATTTAATTTTACTTTGTATTTCTTTTTCATCCAATTAAATATCAATATTATAAAAACTTCTAAATTTAAATTATCGTTTATTTCCATTTTATTTTTCAACCAAATAACCTCTAAAGTAAAATCCTTAATTTTATTTTTTAATGATATTTTGTGATCATTAGGTTGAAAATTCTATCACAGCATATTAGAGTTTGCCAACTAGGGGTCAAGACAGGTTACTATAAAACGATCACGGTTGCACGGGCAGCGCGTCACGTCCTCGTAAGCCATAGCAACAGGGATCTCGGCGGCCGCAGTCTGCATACCGTCGAGGGCAATGGGTCAGCTTTGAATCTAAATACTATTTCATTATGCGATATCTTTGATGTTGGGATTCAATTACGTTGTTTACAAATTTTCTCTTTATGTCTGAGATTTGGGTTTTTTTATTTTTGATGACTTGCATGGAAGGTTCACGGATCCCTGACGCATGCAGGGAAGGTTAGCGGACAGACACCGAAGGTAGCCAAGCAAGACAAAAAGAAGAAGTCGAGGGAAAGGGCTTATAAGAGCATGCAATACAATCGGCGGTTCGTTACCGCAGTGGTTGGCTTCGGGAAGAAGAGAGGGCCTAACTCATCAGAGAAATAGAAGACTCAGTAATTCTGTTTATTATCCTCTGTCTTCAAAATCTTTGCTTCTTTAGGGATGTTGCATATTTTCATGCTTCATGAGTCAATGTTTTGCAGTATGGAGTGCA